TGGGAGCTATTGATGGGAAACATGTCAGGATACAAGAGGTATTTACTATATATTTTTTTCTTTTTCTTACACTATTTTTATTTAAGGCACCACCCAATACTGGATCAGATTTCTTCAATTATAAGGATTTTTTTAGCATTATATTGCTGGCCGTCTGTGATGCAAATTATTGCTTCACAGTGATAGATATTGGTGCAAAAGGAAGACAGAGTGATGGAGGGGTGTTTCGAAACAGTAATTTTGGAAAACTGTTTTTTTCAAATTTCATTGACTTGTCCCCTCCAAGAAAACTAACAAGCCATGGTCAACAGATTCCATACTGTTTTGTTGGAGATGCAGAATTTCCTTTTGGGGTCAATTTGATGAGGCCATATCCTGGAACGTACCTGCCACAGAGCGAAAGAATTTTTAACTACAGGTAAATTTATATAGGATTATGTATTGAAGAAGCCCCCTTCTTTAGTAGGTAGAGTAATGCATTATAAAAGCTGAACTATTACTTTTTAATGTATAATATAATGAAGTTCTTTATTACAGATTAAGTCGTGCTAGAAGGGTTATAGAGAACACTTTTGGCATCTTAGTGGCAAAGTGGAGGATATTGGAAAGGCCAATCATTGCAAAATTGGAAACCACTGAAAATATGGTGGGGGCAATTGTTTGTTTGCATAACTTTAAAAAAAAAATCAGATTTAAATAAAACAGATAAGCAGAAATATTGCCCTTCTATGTTGACAGATAAACTGAAACGGGACAAATTATTCCAGGAGAATGGAGAAAAGATTTAGCAAAGGGATTAGTTGGTGCAGGAAGAATGGGAGGGAATGCCTATGCTCAAGGGGCAAGTGTTATGCAGTCTAAGCTAGCAGATTATTTTGTTAACTCAGCACCAATTGATCCACAATGGTCTAAATAATTAGTTTTCACTAATATCAACTTGTTTGTATTTTATTTGATAATTAAATTATATTAAATTTCAATATGTAGTTTTATTATCAAGCAATAAATAAAATGAAATGACACTCTTGGTTTCATGGAACCATCAGTCCTGACTAGAATAAATGAGTATTTTCACATCTAACTATGCTGTTTAACGTTTTAGCTATTTATTTTAAGACAAGTTAGGAGTGAACTATTTGTAAACAAAATCAATTTAATTGAATCCACTTTTCTTATTCGGCATTTACCTTTAAGTCAGCGTCAATATTTATCTCTAAATTGAATGACACATAAAAATTAAAAAACAATCTTTATTATTTTACAAGAACTAAATGTCACTTAATATTTAATCAGTACAATGCAAATCATATAATTAATAGACTTTAGTAAGGATGTCAATCTGCCTGCATTCTTACTCTTACTGGTAGCTTCTCCAATACTGACTGCACCATCAAAAGAAAAGGATCTAGCTGTTGCTGTTGTACCACAGTTACTGGTACTTGTGGTTGGTTAATGATGTTTAGCAGCATCTCATCATCATCTGAAATTTAAAATTAATGTATAGCCATTCTAATACAAATGTATTTCATTAACAGATGATTGAAAGAGATGCGATGGATGTCAATTCTTATGTCAAAATAATAGAAACTTCAAAAAAAGAAAGTAGAAAGTACAATGGATATTTTTTGATAACTCTCTAATAATAGTTTTAGATGTACTACATATACATTACTGAAAGTAGACGTTAAACCTACTTTTTCTCTTTCGTTTCGTAGAAGGCGATTGAAAAGAGTCTGGAGTCATATTTTCATGTTTAGTACATGGTGGCATCATTAACTGCCTCTCTAAAATGTTGCTTATTGTGGGCTTTGGCATATTCTTCTGTGTTAAAAAGAAGAGACTGTCAAAATGTTTACATTTTTTCTTATCGTCTATTCCTGCTCTGGATGGCTTGTATGTCCTTAAAAAAAACATTTTATTATATTATTTTAACTACTTTTTGACTTAAAATCTATTAATATTTGTTTTAAAGATTTTGTGGTAACTGGAGACAAATTGAAAATTTTAATACAGATACATAGTATAGTACCAAGTACCATATATATAAGTAAATTTGAGCTTCTGCTTGAGCATAACCTCAAGACAAAATGTGTTTATTTGATAAATGACAAAACTTGCATAATATATTCTATTATAAAAATGAAACTAACTTCATATGTTTTAAAAAAGTGTCTTTTAAATTTCTCCATTTTTTTCCACATGGTTTAATGGAATTAAACCATTAAGTTGTTTCACCATTTCCATCCAGAGTTTCTCTTTAATTTCTTTGCTCCTCCGTTTTAAGGGCAAAGTGTGGTCCCAAAGAGAATCTGTACAGCTTCTGCTAACTTCGAAATTAAATTTTCCTCATTAACTTCACTGTCCGAATCAGGTTGGCTTGATTTCGTTGCCGATTCCATGGAGGAAGGATAGTTGGCCAATTCTGATTCTGGCTCAGACAATTGGCTATTAATTTCTTCTTCTTCTTCTTCTTGTGTATTACCAGAACAATCATGAAACTGGAATCTATCTAAGGTGAATATGGCTCCACAATCGCTACATTCGACTTGAGACTAAAATTAAACCAGAGAAACAGAATTTTTTGGTGATATGTACAAATAATTAACAAACCTCATTCCTTTCCATGTCGGAAACAAATTTATATAAATATAAAATAAAACAACTAAATTAAAATACAACTAATCAAAATAAACACAAAAAAATCAAACACAAATAAATTAAATACAAATAAATCAAACACAAATCAGCTAACATCAATAAACAAATTATAAAATGGCGTATATGGCAGTATGGCGTCACTCTGAAACCCACAAAACTTAAAATTTAAAATGTGTCAACCACAAAACACTCGATCACAACACCAAATCGTGCGAATAAATTAAACTCAGCCCAATTTTCCCGCCCCCTAAATTTTAAATTATGCGAATTCGTAAAATATTAAAAATAATGTCATGTTGGCACTATGTTGGTTTAAAATTGACCAATCTGAACGTTATTCGCAATTCGTGATTCGCATCTGTATGAACTAAGCTTAACATTCTACATAAAAATCAGTTTGGATTCTTGACAGGTTGTAGTATCAACGATGCACTATATGAATTTACAGCAAAAATAGTGGGAAACCTTAACACTGGTAGGAAATGTGCAGGATTATTTATTGATCTGGCTAAGGCCTCTGACACGGTTCCACACAACCGGCTACTAAATTCTCTTGAGCATTATGGGGTCAGGAGGGCTGCATTAAAGGTATTTGAGAACTATTTAAAAAACAATTATCAACTTGTTAAACTAAATGGCGCATACAGTGAAAGACACGAAATAGGGATTAGAGTACCTCAGGGAACGGTCTTGGGACCAATTTTGTTTGTCGTGGATATTGAGGGAACAATAATTTCCTTTGCTGACGATACCGTCTTAGTTTTTGATGGAGTAGACTGGAATGATGTTAAAAACACAATGATAACGGGCTTAACTAGAGGCTAAATACAAACAAACTCTCTTTGAACTTAAAAAAAAAACTAATTATATAGCTTTTTCGTTAACAGTATCAACACGCCCACAATACTCTTTCATTATGCTTAAAACCGAAAAAAATAAAGTCTCAAAAATAAAGTATTTGGGGGTTACTGTAGATCAGTACATGAAGTGGCATGAACACATAAATTATATTTCTAATAAAATTCGCAAACTAATTTACAGAATTTATTGTTTAAAATACCTTTTAAATAAAAAAAAAATAGTCATAATATATAAATCATTGATTGAATCATTAATAAGATATGGAATTTTGGTTTGGGGAGGTTCATATGATAATGCATTATACAAATTAAATATAATACAAAAGAACATACTAAAAATCATCTATGGTAAGAATAAAATGTATCCAACAGAACTGCTGTTTACAAATGATATTTGCAATATCAGAACCATTTACATGTTAACAATATGTTCGAATTTCCCTACAAAACATTGTAAATCATCAATATCACACAAGAAATAAAGTAATTAAAAAAAATTAGTATTCCGGTGAGTCAGAGAAACATTAACCTAATTTTTTTTAATTATTTAGCACCGAAAATGTTTAATATGCTACCAGGCAAAATAAGAAGAATATTAAAAAACAAATTGTGTTCAAAATAATGTAATACATATATCTTTAACAACTATACCTTGTTTAAAGAATTATTTAAATAAAGTAAAGAACGCTATAGTCTTCTGTATATAGAAATAATTTAAAACATTGTAATAAGGCTTTAAGAGTATTGAGTTTTAAAATTACATATAAATAAATGTACGAATCGTGATAAGACACATACAGATACATCTAGGTGTCTCCAAGAAAAGGTATATAAAAAAAATATGTACTTATTACTTATATTAAGTTGTTTATATTTTTGGCTTATTTGTTAATAACTAGATAATTTCTGCTGGGCAGACAAACTAAAATAAGACTTAAACGATTGCAGTAGTTAGTTTTAATAAAAAAATTATAATAATAAACCAAAAACCAGCCATAAGAAAATAAGTCACGCGCCTGCCTTCTCACGTACTCCTTAAAAACGTTGGAGAGAAAAATGGCCCTTCGTAATTGGTGGAGGGTTTAATATTTCTTGTAGGTGAGCACTTATCCTCAAATGAGTCGAGTTTTGAGAGGCACGTACCACTTGTAATGCCTATAGCTACCTAAGCGCGCCAGTCTGAACATCGCGCTTTCATGAATTTGTTGGACACGTATCATAGTACAATTTAATAATAAATTTAGCCATTAGAAAATAAGTCACAAACCTGTATGACTGGCTCTAGGACTATTATGTTAATAATTGTTTATTTTGAAGTTTATTTGTTAGCAACTAATTTGTGTTGGGTGGACAATAAAGTAAGGCTTGAAAAAACAAAAATAATGTGGTGGGCAAACGAATTTCACATATTTTTTTTTTAATTCGTATTAGGTGGTGCTTCATATTTGTTTTTTTTTACGTATATATTTATTTGATTTTCAGCCATGTTTGCTGCTACATATTTGTATTTGGGAATGGTTGCTTTTGAAACTGAAGAAATTTCTACTGGAAAAAAACATTTAGAAAAATGTAAAGAAGTTATTGGGAATTATCAATTAGATCCAGAGATGATCCTGATTGCAATGAACATGTATAATGAATTTGGAATTATATCTCAAAACGAACCAGAAGAATCAAAAATATACTTGGAAACGGCTGAAAACTTATATGTAGAATTTAAAAAAAAATCTGTAGCTCCAGTAGATATTAGTGATTTATTTCAGGCTAATTTAGAATCTTATAATACAGAAATAGCCAACAAAAATTTCGAAAAAGATCACACTCTTACATTGTATTACTTAGCACAGATTTATGGTGCTATGAAAGATGCTTTAAAAAGTGCTGTTTATTGTCACATAACACTTCAAAGGCAATTAGAGACAAATGATTTTGATCATATAGAATGGGCATTGAATGCTGCCACTCTATCTCAGTTCTTCATGGAAAAAAATGGTTTCAAACAAGCACGTCATCATTTAGCAGCTAGCTCTTATATTTTAGACACCTACAAAAATGAATTAAATAGCACCACTGAAGAAAGTGAGGCTCATGATGCTTTAGTTGAAAGATTTAAACACAGAAGTGCTGATGTAGCTAGATGTTGGCTAAAATATGGAATAATGTTATTATCAAATTCTAAAGACAGACTTTTAAATCATGCTGATGATGATGAAGATCATATAAATTGCTCTCTATCCACGGACTTTGCTGATCTACAAATTGAGTTCAGTGGAAACATATCCCAATATGATCCAAAAAATTTGTATTTCAAAAATATAGATGTGACTGCTTATGAGAATCAAATATCAGATCAATTTATATTAACACTTCCTGATGCAAAAGCAGTGTTTCTAATTACTCAGCAATGGTCTTTAAAAGCTCAAGAATATTATACTTTAGAAAGTTTAGCTTCAGATTTTATAGAGATTGTTTTGGATCAAAGTCAGTTATATTGTAATCTACTATTCTTTGATGATGATCCTGAAAATCAAGCTAAATTGCACAAACGCAGAATTAAACTTCTTGAACACATCTTGAGTAATGTAAATCCACAATATTATTTACATTATTGCAGAAAAGTTTGGTTTGAGTTAGGTCGAACATATGCAGCTATACTAGATATTAAAAATGATAAACTGAAAGAGACCAAAGGCAGGCCCACTCCACACATTTTGACTAAAATCAATAATTTAGCAGAGAATGGAATTTTACATTATTCTAACTTTATAAAGTCATTCGAAGATAAGGCCTCCAATAAACTACCTACTAAAATACATGATGATTTAGAGAAACCATTTCTTCAGGCATGGTTTCATAAAGCCGTTTTATATGGACGGTACATAACTTTGGATAAAGAAGTTCAAATCAAATATACTGAATTAAGCTATGAAAGTTATAAATATGTATTTGATTATTGTGAAAATAATCCAGAATCTAAAGAGTTACTTACTATGGCATATGGCATTTGTAAGGAAATGGTCGCTTTATTGCCTATTAAAATATTGAAGTTAAAGAATTCTTAAATAGTTTCCAGTAGATATAATTATTGACTTAAACAGTGATATATGTGATTTTTTGGCTTGTTTTTTATTTGCTTTGTTTGAAATGTACATAAACCATGTAATTTTTATTCGAATTTTGCAAACATTTATACCTGCCTAATTCTAGAAAAGAAATGTACATAATAAATATTCATGTTTGATTCTCATACTTGTTTATATCATAATAAAAATTGATGCAGTTTTGTACTTATATGAATTTATTATAATGGATCAATAAAATATCTAAAGCCTCGTGTCCACTTGCAAGTAACTTGCGAAAGAAAGTTTTTCACCAAGTGCCGGCGTGTCTACACTGTAGTCTAACAGCCGTATGCACAGTCGATCGTCAGCGACTCACCAGAGATTCATTTCGGCGCATCGCCAGCGATCCGCCGGCGAAAGCCCAAAAGGTGGCGACTCGCTGGAGATTGTCACCGGCATGTCATTTCACGCAAGTTTTCAAATTCTTTTATAGGGAAAAATTTGATATTCGTTCATTGTTTATGAGTTTTAAAAAATGAATCAATAATAAAATGCGAGAGATGCCGGTGATAATCTCTATAAAAGAACATGAAAACTTGCGAGAAATGACATGCCAGTGACAATCGCCAGCGGGTCGCCACCTTTTCGGGCTTTCGCCAGCGAATTGCTGGCGATACGCCGGAATGAATCGCTGGCGATCGACTATGCATACGGGTGTAATTGTTTTGAAATTTATTGCGGAAAATTATTGTTCGTTTGCTTCAGTAACGTGTACACACATTTAGAAAAATGTCATCTCAGCAAGTGGCTGCTGCGGTTGTGACATATATTCAGTTAAAAAAACAAAAGAAAAGGAAAATGACAAAAAGCGTAGAAAAATTTGGGTCAGAAAATGGATTCAGCGGAGATCTACTTTTGGTATACATGAGAAGCTGTTCTTTGAATTGAGAAGGGAAGATCCACAGCAGTTAAAAAAATGTTCTACGAATGTCTGCGGAATATTTTGATTTTTTGCTGCTTTTATATAATTCATTTGTCCCCTGTCCACTCTTTTTCTTTTGAATTTTTCTCCATTCCTGATTCAGTTGTGTTTTTAAGTTATGTAGCTTGCGCTGAATTTCATGTTCAGATGTATTGAATAGTTCTGCTAATTTTTGAAATGCGGCTTGTTTTTTACTCTATTTTTAAAATCTTTGCAATGTACATTCCATATTTATGGGTACAGTTCAAAATTTTCAATTAACAGAAGAGTTTCTTCCCTATTCCAAACACGGCGTTCCTCCATTTTTGCAAAAAAATCAGTATTTTAATTCAGATTCAAAAAAATAAAATAAACATTTAAAATAGTTTCACAAAATTTCACTACTTGCTGCAAATATTTCGAAACAGTCTCGAAATAAAAAAGTGCAAACTAATTTGCTTAGATTAGCCCAGGGGCTGGTAACTCAAATGGAAAAACATGAGGACGGTAATTTAGTACCACTCCAATTAGCGGGATGGCGCTCGTATCGAAATGTCATGTCAGCTTGTCAACAAAACTTCGTACTTGGAAAAATTAAAATGGCTGTCGCATTTGAAGGTGTATTGAATTTTGATTCATCTAGATTTATTTTTCAACACCTTCCAATTTTAAGCATGTTTTCAAGAGATACATGGATTTCATCAACGATATTGGTAGTGATGCAATTTATACCACGTATTAAATATGCGGTCGTCATATTAAGGATAAACATACAATTTGTCGAGCAATTTGTAATAAGTGTCTTAAGAAAAATGCATCTTGTACTGGCATATCAATGGTAAGTAATATTTACAAACTTGTTTTTGATTCAGTGTTAAAATAATTGGTTTGTTATTTAAATTTCTTTTTGTTTTCAGTTTTGAAATGATCATTGTTATAAAGAAAATGTTGGCCCTTCAAAATACCCTGTATGAAATATTTGAGCCTTAGCCATCAATATCAAAATTTGATTCAATGCCATTGACATCAAACAAGAAAACACCCCAAAATCTTCAAAGGTCCAAACGTGTGTAAGTTTAATTTAAGCTCGAAAGTTAAATTCATTTATCACAGTGCTCAGATGATGAATAAGAATTTGATAACTACAGGTGCTGTACAAATAAATCAATAAAACAATATCGGATGAAGAAATGTTCCTCAACTCAACTAGTCGACTCAATAAGCATATGGCAAATTTATCCACCCTCAAATTCGCCTTGATTGTAAGACACCAAAAGGATGATGCTTCAACTTAAGTTTTTTCAAACTTATTGCCACTCCAAGTTGCAAAACTTTTATAAGTTGCAAAACTTTTATATTGGTCTTGAGCACTCAAATATGTCGAGTTTGTTACAGAAAACATTTTTGATAGGTTTGTTTTATAAATATTTAATTATGTAAATGGTATAAATGCATATTTGTTTGAGTACCTATTTCCATGTTTAAATAGACAAATTATATGATGCGGCGTTAATTTACTGTAATAAAAAAAATAAAATAAATTGCATTTTATTTCAAGTTTGAAATTAATGCAAAAATATAATGAAGAAAATCAAACAAAAAAAATAAATTGGCAAAATATTTGACTAGTTTCAAATCACAAAACAGTCAATATGGTTGTTTTATGATTTGAAACTAGTCAAATATTTTGCCAATTTATTTTTTTTGTTTGATTTTCTTCATTATATTTTTGCGTGACTAGCAGAAAGTTGAATTTCAAAAAGCCCGCGCTAAGCGGCCATATTGAATTTTAGTACCACTCCAATTTGATAGATGGCAGCACATCGACTCAGAATATTACCATTGAGTTTCCCATCTATTCACATTAGTAATCTATGGATTAGGCGTGTACATGTGAGAGTACTCTTGGCAAATTTAATTGCTAGTGGCATAGCCACCTAAACCACAAGCCGTGAAGCGTGAAATCTGGCATCGCCGCGGGTAGTCCTATGGGACCACACGACACAAAAACACCCCCAAAATAGGATAGATACGATTGCATATGATTCGACATAAGTGTGAAGTGAAAACTGCCGTTCTGTTTGTTAGTTTATTTCATTTAAATAATATTAAATAGCTACTATTGAAAGTATTATAAGTAAATTATTTATAAGTTTATTCTGAAAAGGTAAGTTTCTATTAGTGCTAATGTACTAAGTACCACATTTTTAAAAAATATTGAAGATATGTTATCGACATTTCTAACCTCAATATTTTAATTTTAGGTGCCAAGACACTGCTGCGTACCAAAGTGCAATTCAAATTAAGCCAGTACTTTAAAAAAGGAAGAAACACAAAGTACATTTTCATTTCCTAAAAAGGAGGAAATTAGAAAACAATGGATTAGTGCTATACATTGTAAAGACTATGTTAACTCAAATTCAGTAGTGTGTAAGAAACATTTTGATCAAACTGATATTATAGTAAATGAATTCTACATTGATAAAAACGAAATAAAACATGAAATTAAACTGAAGTATCCTAAATTAAATGAAGGTGCAATTCCAAGAATTTTTGAAAACCATCCTCAGTATTTTTCAAATCCAAAAAATGCAGAAAGAAGAGATCCTGAACAAAGGAGAGCTGAAATATTTGAGAAGTTGCAGAATTTTTAGATGCTGATCTAATTAAAAATTTTGTGAATTATTTGGACAAGTGAATGTGAAAGTTATTTTAAATAATTGGAATGTAAAAATTTTACCAAAAAGGGTTTACTTTTACATGCTCAATACTCCAGATTGTTCCGATGAGTGTCCTAAAATTATTTCTAGCATAAGTGTTAATATGGATTTAAATGTGTCAGTGTGTACTAATGACGTGCAACTATCATCACGGGATTTAAAATGGATTTTACCACATGCATGCAAATTAGGTAGGTGGTTGCAACTCCAGAATTTATTATCAAGATATTCTTATAGCTTAAAAAATTATGTGAATATTAATTTTTATATTTTAAAGGCTTCAAATATTATTGATGCCATTATTAATCATTTAAGTGATGATGAAAAAAAAGCAACCTTTGAACTAATTAACAATCAATTATTATTATTAAAAAAAAAGATATTCATTGTCAACAATTTTACTCTCACTAACTATATTTCATCAGTCACCTTCTGCCTACACATATTTAAAAAAATTTCTCAACTTGCCTACTAAAAGTTATTTGCAAATAATAACTTCATCATTCCAGTTATCCCCTGATGGAAACTTGGAGGATGATTATTTTTCATACCTTGCTTCACACCTCAATAACAGAGAGAAGGTTGTAAACTTATTAGTTGATGAAATATATGTCAAACCGGGTTTATTGTATATCTGAGACCATAAACTTTTATATGTACTTACAATACAACATAGTTCAGTACAATATTATATCTTATTATCTCACTTTATATTATACATTATTAGTTATTATTGAAAATTTGAGGAATACATACGAATTTCTATGTTTCCTACATTTTTTCTCTAAAATTCGTTCATTGTACATCTGAGACCATAAACTTTTATGTGTATACTGTAACACAGTTCAGTACCAATATAACTTATTACCTCATACTATAATATATTAGAAATTGTTAGTTATTATTGAAAATTTGAGAGAAAATGTACATGAATTTTCATATTTCCAACATTTTTTTCTACTCTTATATATTCGTTCATTGTATATTTGAGACCAGAAACTTTTATAAGTACTTAAAATATAATATAGTTCAGTATTATATTTTATCTCACTTTATATTATTCATTGTTAGTTATTATTGAAAAGTTGAGGAATACATATATGAATTTCCATGTTACCAACATTTCTTTTTCTACTTTTATACATTCGTTCATTGTTTATCTGAGACCATAAACATATGTACTTACAATATAATATAGTTCAGTATTATATTTTATCTCACTTTATTATTAGACATTGTTAGTTATTATTAACATGTAAGAATTGTGGTTCAATGGAAATTATCGTCGAAAATTGAGAAAAAATTTTTTTTCCTACGACCACTTAGGAAAGTGACACATATCACACTATATAGACCTATGGAAAGTGCCCTATATCACACGCGTATGAATAAGAATTTACTTTCCACCCAAGTGAGAATATGCTACTTTCCGCAGTAGCTGTCAGAAAATGTCAAACACATAATTTCTATTTTGATCTATGTAA